AATGAACCTTCTCTAGAACTACAATGCTTTTTACGACTGTCTTTGCTTCTGACCTTATCAGACAAAAGCCAGACGCAATGGTCTTATCAGCTTATTGTTCTCCAACGACTTTTTCCACCCAACTATTGTACCCTCAATAATCAGATGAAGGGCAAAACTATTCCAGAAACCTTTATGATGCAGGAAAATATGACCTTAGCAAGAGCGAGTACTAGTCACACGGCCAAGTCAATTAGTTCAACGTGCAGGGCAAAGAACATATAAGAAATTCTTGCAGCGCCGGTTGTTGACATAACAGTACACTTACAGTATAATCGGATTTTGTCCCCAAGAATTTCAGCACGCTATTAACGACTCAGAAAAACATTTATCGAATTACTGGAATGGAACAACCCACAATAGCACCATATTTCTCATTCAGCTGACAACGCCAAGGGGATCGAAAAACAGATTTGCTATTCATGAGCAGATTAAGCATCGCTAATGCAAAAAGGGATCTGATACGCAAGAACTGTTCTCGGAGTGCTTAAGAACAGCCGCAAAAGCCCATTGGACGTCAGGAGAAAACTTGTGTGTGTGGCAGGAAGCGGTTCTCTGTGTAAAGCGTAGAGAGGTGAGGAGATGCAGACATGCTAAGGATAGGCGGTGAAGCAGTAATAACGAAGGGGCGTGCGAGGAGAATGCGGCGCTCGTCGAGCGGATCGGTATCGCTGCACCCGGCCGGCCATCCAACGTGCCCTGCTGCTGGCTTGTTTTGTGAGAGTATGTGTGTGTGTCCTTGACTAGTTTTTTTTTCATCACGCGGGCGCGCGCACTCTCCCCACCACCCGGCTGATGGCGTGCACGTCGTTGGTGGCGCTCGCTTTTTTCTTATGCAGACCCAGCAGTTCGCAGATGAGCGCCCGCAAGACTCCGCCCCCGCCCGGCTCTATTGCCACACCCCCAACGATCTTTGGTTGCTTGTTTGAGCGCACCAGCCCGCTGCCATTGCCTCAGCAATGAGGATTGCGTGTGTTCCCGCGGCATCACGAGGACCAGGACGGTTTTAGTTGGTTGAGTAATCAAACTGGCTACCTGCTGGGTCGATAATAGGGCAGTCACGTTTGATGTGTGCACGAAGTGTGTTTGCCTACGTAAGTTGTGTTAATATTTAACTTTGGAGGACCTTTTGTTGACACTTCCCGTTCTTTTGTTTGTTGTCAACAGTCCTTGTAACAGCCAATAAATTCACTTCCGCCTTTGGCTGTGGTGAATCGATAATCGCATGTGTAGCCTCCCTTCACATACCCTTTATCTCTTCACTTCCACTTCACGTCAGCTGGGCTATTCCTGTTCGACAACAGCGGATATGATACGTGTAGCTCTGGTTTTTCGTCGGCGTGACAGCAGCGAGTTTTTCCACAAGTCTAACGATCTCAGAGATTTGTCTCAGACACCTTGCCGAAAGTGATATTCCACTTGGTACACGGCTTGACGGCTTCATTTAAGCCTCTCTTAATCGCCATGATTAGCAAATGTAGCCAATTATAGAAAGCAGTAGCTTGGTTGGACTTTGCTCCTTGTCTAGTCGCATGCCATAACTCCGTTATTATCTGAGCGTGAATAAGTTGTTGAGCAAATGACGCAGCAATCTTTAGTCGGTTGGTGTTTGCTCTCCGGACACTCTAGTCCCATTGGTGTTTGCTGCCGCCGACGCTGCCGTTCGTCGTATGACATCAAGAAATGTGATGTGAAGTGACTGCAGTCCAAGTCAATGCTATATCGACAACGACAGCTGTTCCAATAACGGAAGTCGTTGAGGTTGTTAAGTACCGGAAACGACATTTCTTGAAGGCTGTCATTACGGAATTGTGAGGAAGTCTCTCGCCTACTGCAACTTGCACCCCCCCCCCCCCCGTTCAAGAGAAGCTTTCAGTGAACGTTCACTGATGAATGAGGCTAATCGGGAATTGAGACGAGCGAAAGAGGTAATTGGTTGACGGACCCCGTCGAATTCCCGCGTTTTCTCTTTCTCTCCCTCTTTCCCCCAGAATAATTCATTTTGCGGAACAACGGCTCATGCTCAACAAATTCATGAGTACCTGTTTTCATATTCCCAATTCTTCTAAACAGAGTTGGTCTTTGAGGTTGAACACAAAAGACCAAAGTGAAAGATAGAATATGCAAAAGACATGCTGTCAATTACATGAGAGTGTAGAGTCCGTTTTTTATCTCATTTACTGTCCAAACCAGTCCCGATCTTGCCCGCAATGAGCGGCTAAAATCTCCACATGAATCCCTTAACAGATCCATCATCGCCCACGCTGGTTGACCCAAAAAGTTCTGCGCGGTCAAGCGCAAAGAGTCCTTAAGCTGTTTCACCTTACAGTTGGGCAGTTTAGATGCCCATAAATTTCAGTGAGAAACCAACCTCTCCCAAAAGAGGCTATGTGGGAAGCTGCTCGCCTTTAGTGATTTAGTCTCATTGGCCACCCAGACATTGTTTATTGATTGTGTTGGGTTAAACCTGGAAGGCGAAGAGATCAATTGGTTTATTGCTTCAACTTCGACAGTTAGCAGAACAGTAGCTGGAGTATATTCTTCAGCCTGGGTATTGTAGTTGTTAAATATTGCTCGGGAAGAACTTCGATGAGAAGCGGACTCTGTTCAATCCTGCCCTTTATATAGGGCTTCTTCCTGCGCGATCTCGGATATTGACCATAATCAATAACTTGGCCACAATTCGAGTAACGATTACTCTGCAATGAAGAAGTTAGCTTGACAGTACTGTGGACTGACATTGATTGAACCTGAAGGACTTTACTATATTGTATTGTAAGTAGCGTTTTCTTTACAATACACGGTAGATCAGGCTAAATCCATTTTTGATGGTTCCTCGGTGTCGGTTACATGACGAAATAGTCATAACGCGAGCTGAGAACGCTATCCTATTCATCATTCTTTGCGGTCGTGGCAGGTTATACACATAAATGTCATCATTGAAATTGCAGAGGGCCAAATAGCATGCTGCCGCTGCCATTGCCACTTAATGAGCATATCACCTCAACTACCGTGCACCGATTGCGTGAATGACAGTTTTGTGCAAAACTTAGAGTGCGCGTTCTCAGCCCTCCCCTTTCTCGCACTGGCGACAGCGATGGTTTTTTCTCCCCTTCGTCGTCGTCATCGACGTCGATCAATCACTGCGTGCATCGCAGTGTTATCGTCATCTCTAGTCATCTTATCGGGTTTCAAGTGCTAAATCGAATCATCGACGAAAGGCTAGTAGGAATTAGTAGAAAGTGCATGTCTAGGGAACAACCGATGCTCTATGACGGTCATTCGGTTTTTAGACTTTGTGATTAATTGCGTAACTGTGATTTGTGGCTGGCGTCGCGATTGGGAATAAGAATAATGGGAATCAGAATAGCTAAGGAAATGTATTGCTCCGAAATGTAGGGAGAGTTGTCAGCTGGTCAAATGTTGTGTCAGCTCACCGTCTTCAAAGATATACGGTGATTTAATCCTGCATTCAACCAGTATACGATTCTTCTGGCATTTCAGAGCAACGTAAGATTGTTTTGATCCCGTTTTCTATTTTCGAATTTTCCCGTTTCACCGGTGTTTTATAAGCGGGTGTCGCGTGCTTATGGTCTCGAAACGTGGAAGGGGTAATTGTAGTTCCTGGAGGAATGAGGCCAAGCAAGGACAGTATTTAGACGAATGACAGGAAGTTGTATTGATCGATGTCACCGATCAATTTCATCGACCAGTGAACGTTCGCTATGTTCGTTCGTTTTTGTGTTCTTCGAGTCCCATTCGATGTTGTCACTTTCGTTAAGTTGACGTTGAGTTGGCTGGAAAGGAAGATGGGTGAAAACCGTTGCTGAAATGAAATTAAGTCAGCTGCTCAAAGGGCTGTCAGCAGCGGCGCGCGGTAATCGATATGTGTCGTGTTCAGCCTGCAGAGAACTCTCAAACGAGAGGTGTGGAGTGCTTATCTTCACTCAGTCTCCGTGCTTGTGCGTATGAGGGTGTTCTTACGTCCTCTTGACTTTGATCTACGTCAAAGCTTTATTCCTCCCGTGCAGAGCGTCCACCGCCTGCGGTTGTCCTCGCGCTGCAGCACTTCAAAGCTGAAATGCTCTTAAGCGAGAAATGCTTTTTCTCGGCGCACATTCTTCCTCCATTACAGTGATGAATAGGCTTTAAAGAAGTCTACTCCTTGCTAGCCCATTCCATTAGGTCCATTATAGAACTGAATATTCGCTCAGCGTCGTGGATGGGATGGCATGTGTGTCCGCAAGCCCCAACGCTTTTCTTATGGTAAGCAGCAGAAATCGATAAGCGTTCGATCATTCAGGCGCTGATTGCCTTATCGCCTGTCTGATTTGTGCTTTCTCTGTTGTAGCGAATATTAATCCCCAGCTTTCAGCTCGGGGAGGTCATTCTTTTGCCACGGACAGAAAGAATGACGTGCTTTCGGACCCGCTTGCAGAGTTGATTTTCCCCTAGGATAATTGAAAAAACTGGCATGACGTTACTTGCTAGGAGGAGATGTGCAGTGGGTGGCAACAGCAGAACCATATTAGGCGGCTGCCCTTGCAGTAATTGGTTTTCGCGTCGCTGCGACAGCAGCTCGCAGAGCTTTCCTGGTCAGTTTTTCATTGCTGCTCGTAATATCGTATTCTGCATGTTATCCCCTCTCTTACTGATATCCGATCCATCCGGTAATGATGAAGCTGCTGCTGCAGGCTTCATCCAAAGTGCAGCCTATGTAGCATTTGAATTAAGCTTCATGCAATGATTGCTGACGTCGTTCTATTTGCCTGCCTGGCTTCTTTGAAAGAATCGTTTTCTTCTTGGTCTCCCCTTATCGCGGCGTAGTCAAGGCTGACCACGTTTTACTTCCGTCATTTAATTAGTTGCTCGTATCGCGTAAAGAAATCGACGTGTGTGTGTATGCATCGAAGGTGGCGTAACGCATCGATGCGTGCATAGCGAGCGATACGGGCACTACGATGGCGATAGCGGCACGATCGTTCACGCCTTTGCGTCTACACGACCACCACCATCACAATCACCACGACCACGACGACGCAACGAGCAGAAGAGAAGGCGATGGAACCGGTTTCGTAATCGCTACGACAAGAGGAGACGGTGTGATGGACGGTATCATCGTCAACGGCGTCAACGCACGCCGTTTGTCATTCGTTGACTGTTGCTGTATAGCGCACGTTATCAGGAACTGCTTTCTCCTTCTGCATTGGTGGTTTCAGTAAAAGGGGAGGCGGTGCTTTCCACGTAATGCACACAGCAAGTTTCTTATTCTCTCGTCCGCCCGCATTTTCATCGACGGTTCTATTTGCAGAACTTCTCATCTTTGCGCCTACACAAACATAGCCCCAATGTGTGTGTGTATGCGTGTGTGTGTTGTGTTGATTCACGCAATGCATCGCGTTTGTTCATTGCGATACGACACAACAGTACGCACTTTAGTAATATTGTGGGCCCTTATCGTTGTCCACGAACACTAGCCGCCACGTAGCACGTCGCCGTAGAGACTGCAATAGAGCGTGGCGATTTCAGTTGCTACTATCCAAGGACGTGTGGCGCGATTGTGTGCAGTCTCGCTAGTGCGATATCGTTTACGACAACGATGAGATACTGATAACCGTGAGGCGGACGTGAGAACCTTCTTCGGGCATTTTGATGTGACCTTTCCAATCGTTCAGCGTTTTCCGTGTCCACCAAAGGGCTACTCTTTTGAGGTGGTAGGGGAGGACAGAGGAAATGCTCTCAGCATCTGCGTCTCTTCCAGTGATGTACACCCAGCCATCCATTCCAGCATGAATTGTTCGCTGCACTCACACCACATTCTTCAATTATTCATGAATTCGTCAACATGAGCGCGAATGTGCCATTGAGTTGTCTTTGGTGTTAGTACGGAATGTACTTTGCTCCACGATAACGTAAGATGGCTGGAAGAAGGGCAAAAAATCCTGCTCCTGCACGGCACTGCAATTCTTGCTGAGCAATTTCTGACTTGCAAAGTGAAAAGCCTTTAAAAAGGCGCCGAAGAGACCCGATTTCCCAGTTGTTCAGCTGAATTTCTCATGCACTTTCGGCTCTGTGATGGCTTTCCTTTGCTGCAAAAACCTAGAGACGGGTTCAGGATGTATTCTGAGTGTCGACGGGGATTTCTGGAGCCTTAGGTGATTAAGGATTCACCTAAGGCCCCGCGAGGAGGATTGGTGATTAAGGATCGATGACGCAAATGCATGCCTAATCAGTCTTATTGGCATGAAGAAGGAGTGGGATCAGCTGAAGCTTAGCCGCCTTGAGAGGATCGACTGACTAAGCTGGACATTAGTTACGTACAAATTCCTTAGGCTAAAGAGGATTAGAAAGACCAAACAACTTCCCTATTTTGCCATCTTGTCGTGCGTATAGTGGCTCATGTTCCCATTTTTGGAGCATTACGTGTTCTCCAAAGCATCAGGAAGCGTCGCCGTTGTAGAAAACACAGCGGGAGTCGTAGTTGAACGCTTTTGGAGCGCTCAATTACGACTCTCATTGTGATTTTCTGATTTGCAATGAACTTTTTCTGATCGTTAATTTTCCCTGTTTCACCCGATTTATATCTATCTTCCTCCCGCCTGCGAATACTTCGGTAAGATGGTGGGTAGGCTGCGAAAAGGGGTCATACTGAAGAAGAAGGTATAGGGTGGGGTCGTACGTGCAGAAATTTCTACAGCGCGGTCGTATACCATTTTTCCAAGAAGTGCTCTCGGTCGGAGCTACTTTGTACAGATCCGTATCACTTATTGCCATTCAAAAGCTGAGTCACTTCCCGGAATCTATTTTCTTTTTCCATCCGTCAAGGTTACGCCTAATGCCATCAGTCTGGGTGCAAAAAGAGGTTTTTGTGGGAACAACTGTTCTACGAGATCTGTTCCTTCTTATTGCCCCTCCCAAGAGTTAGACCCTGTGGACTAGTCTAGCGGAACCACCAGTTATCAGCCAATCATACCATCCGTGGCGTTTTTGCATCTTATTGGTCACACCAAAATAAATCGATTGATGGCATGACGTTCTCTCTCTTCAGGTACTCATAGATTAAACCATGCAGGAATATCAATTGGAGAATCTATTATTTCCTCTTAAACATTCCATTATGAAATGTATTTCCGCTATCCATATTCATATAAGCTTTAGAATGGGGGTTACACCATTAATCACCCCATTATTCGTATCGGGGAGGGTTGGGGGGAGGGCAAATGCTCAGATGAAGCGCTCTGTAGTGGTTGGCTCCTCATGGCCTTCTTTCCTTTTTAAGTCCGATCGTCTCCTGCACGAGTCATGTAAAAGGGATGCCTTCCTTTTTCGTCCGCGAGCGCTGACGATAGCGCTCGATCACGTTCTTCTTATCACCTCCAGTCCCCCCTAATCGGGCGGTCCGTTGTGCGGTCAGGCCGTCAGGGTGTAGGTAAACAAAGTGCTAGGTTTTGTGATAATGGCGATAAGTGGTGTTTGCGTTGGAATAAGAAGGTTGTGATAGCAAATATTTGCAATAAAGACAATTTTTGATGTCTTCGCCCATGGTTCGACCACTAACGTTCCCCTCCCACACTCCCTCCTTCTCGTATTTCGACCTCATTCCAGGGTCCCTAACGTCATCTATTTGAGCTTCGTTTCCGTTCTAGCGTGACACTAGCGATCCCTTTCACTATGTTTGTGTGTGTAGGGTTGTCTGTGTGCTGAATAAATACACGAATGATTGTACAGGACTCCCCGCCCGATGTGTGTCCCTGCGTCTATGGGGATATTTCCCTCTCGTTAGTTCTTTCCCCACGTCTTTCTGTTTTCCATCTCTTCGCTATCTCTCACCGACTATCCATCACTCGATCGAAGGCTGTCGTAATCGGTCGCACTCTCGCTCTCACTTCATCTTCGCTCCGTCCGTCCCCGTCCGTCGGTCGGTCGCTGCCTCGCCGCTGCCCCGCCCACAGCGCCGTTTCTCACGCTCCTACGCGGGTGCGCTTCCGCAGAGATGTGTGTGTGTGTCTTCCCGTGTGTATTCATTCATTCTGCTGGCAATCGTATTCTTTACATTCTTTACAATACGGCTTGTTCTCCGGATGACGATAGCGTTCTCGGGAGATTTTTACCGTATTGTGTTACTGTGAAGGTATCCGCTTTGCCCTAAATGGGAAGCTTACCCCAAGCATTTTTCCCATTTTTACTTCTATTGTCCTGAAATTCGCAGCCGTTCCCTCCGGTACAGCTGTCAGTACTTTCTGGCTGTTTTTCCAGTACAAGAACCAAGGGCAAGATGTGATTTGTCACAGGGGGATTCTATTTCTGTTCCTCGACGCGCTATGCGTCTCTAACACGACAAATGTTTTCAAAGGCTGCCCATACGTCTGTTGGTCGGCCAGGGAGAATTCCCTACCCCCTGTTTCTCATCCCCTCCTCGATTACATTACACTGCAGTCACGCCTTCAAAACACACACCACCGCTGTACACGACGTCGTTTTGGTCTTTGATCGAGGACAAGTCATCCACATATTCTTCTTTTCCCCATGCAGTGTAATAGTGCAGTTCCAGTGCGTACCAGTACTGTGGGCGTGTTGTCTGCAAAGTGCACCTGTTTTCATTCCTTCCGTTTTCACGTTTCCAGTTATTCCTGTCTCATTGGAACTTACCTCGAATAGATGGTGTTTCCTGCGCAAACTTACTAGGGTGTAAAGTACGTCGTCGAAACGCCATTTTCCGTCTTTGGTCATCTGGAATAAATAGCTTGTCGTTGTTCGGCTTGGGAGGGGCATTTTGCACTTTCGCGTGTACTCGTTGCTAATACATGTTAACTCACAGGTTTACAGGTCTCATCCTAGTGCGACCTGTAAACTTCCGTCAAGCTTCGAAGTGGAATAAGTGAGCCGCGTTGGCCACAAGAAGTAGCTAGTTTTGACAAGGTGGCCAAGGATTCGTTAAGTACCATTTGGTGCGCCATTAGTTTTTATAACCCTGGGCAACCTCATCGGATATCTGCCGCGTAGCGCGTCTAGTCAGCGGCTCTTGTGAATATTTCAGTGTTTTCTTCTAGGACTTGGAATAAGTTACCATGACACCCTGTGCAAACAGCGTGGCACTGAGGCGAGTGCGTGAATCTGGGCAAAATGCGGGAGATAGGTGCTTTCGGGGAAATCCCCTACACTTAAAAGTTAACAAAGGTATGCTACCGTTGTTTGGGAATGATGACATAGGGTTATTGGCTGTTATGAGACTATTAAGTCAAAGTGTAGCCTTTTGGGGCGCCTGAGCCGGCATTTTTAGTGTATTCCGTTGCCAGTGACTGGGAGGTTGTTGAGTTTCGTCAAAACGTTTGCACTGGTTAACCGGCTGGAAGTCTGCCTGCACCATAGGGGCGAAATCCGAGCGATTTGTACTTCCATCATCTGGCCTGATGTTGTTATTTTCGTCAGTTTCCATTGTTTCACTTGGCCCGGCATGAATGGCATTTTTTTGCGCCACAGTAGACGGAGATATGCAGCTGGGCCGGAACGGCTGGTGGGTGCGGGCAATATTGCCGCCCTGTGCGCGTTTCATGATCGAAAAGGGAGCCCCCGCTTATGCACCGTAAAAAAACATCGCCCGTCGCGCGCACACGCTCTCCTAATGTGTGTGTGCGCCGTACGGGCGCGGCGGATGTATCTCGCCATCGATGGTGGCCTTCACGTTTCATTGCGCTTTTTCGCTCATTGACTGTTCACCATTGATGAGGTTTCAGGTGACCTTTGTCGCGCGAATTTACTGTGATTTGAAAAAAGTCACATATTGAGCGATGTTTGCCCCGTCTGGGAAATGGGGAGGGCGTACAGGATGTTCTCCCGATTGGGAGAAGGTAACGCTCGTTCCTTTTGGAAGTCTGAGGACTTGGAGGACCTATGGAGGACATGTGCTAAGCTCGTTCAAACTGGAGAAACGGCGATTCTGTTCATACAAGCCCATTTAGAGATGGTGCAGTGGCAAGCAGCGCCGCTTATCACGCCTAGGTCCCTGATCAGCTCTAGCTGTGGTCAGCCTAGCCTTCTATCTTCCCGTGGACCGGCCAATCAGTACGAGGCTTGTCTGAGAGGACGAAAACCCTGATTTCCGTATCCCCGGGCTCGGCAAGATTCAGCCGAACGGCCTTGAAAATGTTTTCGCGATTTTGATTGGCAGTAGAATGCTCCGCGTATCCTAAAAAGGGGTGTCAGCGCGCCGCGCTTTATCCTTTTGTACTGAAGCGGTTGATGCCAGAACACACCCGATCATGTACAACTTATGAGGTAGCTTTTTGCTAATTACGAGTTTGGTATGGTCTTTTCGAACTCATCCCTGACTCATCTTCGATACAATCTCTCCCCCCCCCCCGCCCATCTATCATATGCCCATTTTGGTATGTCGAGATTTGTGGAACGGCTAATGGATGGACTCCGTGTCCGCACCCCTCTCTTTCAAATCACCTCAAGTATGAAGCCAGCCTGTGCTTTTGATCTAATCTGCTGCAGCTCATTTGGAACCGTTTACCACTCCAGGGTGACCTTTGTCTAGGACGTTTTTGGGTGTTATTCGGCAATTAGGGGGAGGGCACTTTGGCTGCTTCACTATTTTCAATTTACAAGTCTCCTTGTGGTGGAACCTGTTCACTCTTGTGAAGGTGGAGTTATCTTGTCAGGACACCATGGTAAATGGTACTTGTATGGAATGCTCTTGTTTAACACAAGTTCACAAGTACTTTTCCCAACAGTTAACAGTGGTCTCTACAAACTTTGGCTGGTATCATCCCTTGGCTTCACAAGATTTCACAGGTCTTCACTTGTTGGCTAGACATGTCGATGAGAAGTTGCGGAAGTGCAAAATGCCCCCTCCTCAGCCCAGTGTGCCCATTTTTAATCACATCCAGATCAATCCAGAAGACAGCTAGAGGTTGGAACGGTTACAGATCAGCCTGGATAGCGTGAACGACCGATCGTTCCCTTTGCTAGGCCTTCGTCTGCATAGAGAGAATTGTTCTGGTTTGGGAAAGAGAGACAGAGCGATAGACAGCTATAAAAGGAGTGACGCGCCGTACAAATCCAGCTAGATTGGATCTCGTTGTCGTCGTCGTTGTAGATCGGCATCAAAAGTTGGTCGATAAGAGAGAACTGAACTAGAAATCGAATAAGGTGCCGAATGGAGAATGAATGGTGATGATCGTCGTCGTCGTTAGTGAGAATCGAATCCACGCCGCACCGCTGAACGTAACGTCGTCCCCCGCCTGTCGTGTGTTTTGTGGCCTGAAAAATCGTTCCGTGTTGATTCCAAAAAGTGCATTGTTCGTGGCGTTCAATGTTGTCGTTATGAATACGATTTCGGGATAACATGGTTATTTTAATGGAAATGAAATTTCTTTCCGTGAAATGGCATTTTACCCTATTGATGGCTTATTCTGATGAAATGGAGCAGTAAATAATTGTGTCAGTCTCTAGCGCCACATCTCAGTCCCCCTCTTTCTCTTTTTACCGTTTCTGTATCCATACAGTGTTAGGTGAAATCTGGGCGCACCAGAAGATACTTGGCTAACAAGTTTGTTTTGGCCATTTCGTGAAAACCTGTTAATTACAGGAGGTGACAGGTATTGTCAAAGCGTAACCTGTAAGTAAAAATGAAGGAGCAAAGAGAACTAGCGAAAGTGCAAAATGGCCCTCCAAGCCAAACAACGTCGAAGCTGTGCAGTACCTGCTAGAAGTAAAAGCTTGTACTGGTACTTGAAGCTTGTTCTGGCTAAATATTTTCGTAGGTAACTGGGTTCAGACTGACAAGAGAGGCTTCAAAGTTGTCTACCTCTACAAGTCGTTTCAAAGCCTTTTAAGAATGTGATGTACGTGGCCTATCTCAAGCTGATTACACCACATACTAAGGGGTGCAGACGGTGTTAATTTCGGCGTAGTTGATTGGCGCTCACCGCACTGTTTTTCTTGTTTGTTCCGTGTTTTTCCTCTATGAAACTTACCTCAACCCTAATAAGGGGGTGCAGACGGTGCCAGTCTGCAATTTTGCCTCTGTGTTAGAATAGCCTGCAATTTTTGAACAAGAAGGAGCTCCAAGCTCCTGTGGGGAGGAAGGTTGTGAAAGGGGTCTAGGGAGAAGGTGAGGTACATATAACCTTACCCTCCCCCCCCCCCCCTCCAATTCTCCTTCGGTACGATTGCTGTGCAGCTTACCCTTCTACTTCACCCCAGCCCAAATTCAGGGAGAGGCTTTTTACCAAATTCTGCCGTAAACGAGAGAGGGGGATCAACTGCCAGAAATGAAAGTTTTGCTGGTCCGCTGACGGGCCTACGGGGGGGGGGCTACATTGCGCCTGGAACTGAAAAAAATCAACAAATTTTCTCATGGCATGATATTCTCCAACTTCTCTTCATCTACAGCAGATGAAATGCGCCCCCATTGTGATTTAGACCACGGCTGGTATTCCTCTCGAGCCCTTTCCAGTGCTCCAATACGACGCCTTGTTCCGGCTACTCGATGTTTTTTTTTGCACAGACGCAAATTGCAGACTGGTGACGCTTGTCCCCTCATATACGCAAGTACCCTGGCCTTTACCCAATCCCGACATTTTGCTCTACCCTTCTCAATGGTCCAGCTCATTCTACTCGTTCTTGCTCTTGCTCTCCTTTCTAAGCCCTTTTTCCTTATGCAAGACGAGTCCCATTAGTCGCACATCGCCGTCTTCCGTTATTTTTCTTCTGTCTCAATTAAGCCCGAGCGCTTCTTTTGCTCATTCTGCATTTCGCACCCCCTTCTGTCGTCTTTGACATTCAATCTTCCTTTTTCCTTCACTTCCCCTTCTCCTCGCCATCGTCGTCGTCATCGATTTCCCCATTATCGATCGATTGGCGCGTTTGCATTTTGAAGTTCATTCGTTCTGTTTCAGAAACTAGCAAAGGCCTCACGCGGCCGTAAAATGAAAAGTCCTGGCGTGTTGGCGGACGGTGGCACGGCGCCACTGAAACGCGGCGCCAGCCAGACGCCATCGCCGGCCCCCTTGAAGACGTCACGAATAGAGCCAGACCCAACAGTGTTCCGGTACGTTTTACAGCTCATTTTCCCCTCTTTCCTTATTTTCTTCCTTTTCTCCAAACATAAATATGCCTATTTTCATTGATTTTCGATGGCTTTTGTTCGTAGTTCGATTCATTGATTGATTGAGAGAAGTAAAGCGCTAATGCTTGCCCGACTATCGATGCCGCGCCGATCGTCCAGCGCGAGACTTTCACTTCCGCGCGCGCCCACCCATCTCCACCCGCGCGCAACATATCTTCCCCTAATTGCACAACGACCCGCCGCCAGCCGGCCGCTGATGGTCGAGTGACGGGGGCGCGAAAAGAGGCCGAGTGTATGACCTTGTTTTTTTTTCTGTTGGCGAGTGGATCGCGTGAAGGAAACCCGCTTTCGCTTCCCGTCCGTCGGTCCTTTACATACGTGTGCGCGTGATTTTCACCGGGGGACAGGGTCGTTGAAGGCAGGGATTGCAGGGGATTGAGGGGGCCATGCTACGGTTTCGGAGAAACTTCCAAAGCCTCTTGATGTGATACGTTTAACACTGATATGGTAAACTTGGCGCTTTGCGGGATATGTATCAGCGTAGACGGGTTCAATTCTACGGTCCTTCTGTCATTCTGGTGGCTTCTGTAATCCCCATAAATGTGCGGCTCCCATAAAGCAAGTTGGCTGTTATCGTATCGAGCCGTCCCAACGGTTTTTAGCTTAAGGTGCCCGATGTCAAGGTTAGGTTAAAAAATGGGCAGGGTCAGGGTTAGCTAACCCTGGTCGCTTATTTTTTTGTTGAATGCCTGTGCTAGGGATCTCTTGCTTCATTTTTGTTACGAAAGGTCCTGGGGTCCTGTCGGGTCAAGGAATGCCATGGGGATTGCTGTTTCCGTCAATAAGACCCCCCCATCCCGTTTACCAATGCGATCCCAAACGTCCGTCAACGGGGAGGGGTAGCAACATCTACGAGTACTCATCGAAAATAAATAATAAGATCGCAGTATTGCCGCAAATTGTCTAGGGGGGCTAAAACGGGAATCAAATAGTATACTTTACGCTGTGTTAGGTCAGATAAGACTTCCACCGAAACCGAGTCCACAGCTGCCCCACCTCACCCATTTGATTAGAGAGTATTTATCTGGGGCTCAGAGGCTTCCCTCTCACTTTGTTCTGTTCTTTATTCGGTTGAAGGTTGGAGCACTACAAGGTCTAAAGGCCATAACGGGGCTTTATACTGGTTTTAGTGATTATAAACTGAGCAAATAGGCCCTTACCTTTGCAAAGGAACAAAACTGGATGTTTGCTTCCGCTTGAGCCCTTGTTGCCCCAGGGCTATGAGTCTGTTTGAGCTTGGTAAATAGCACTAGGTGCCTTCAAGGCGGTGTTAGGGGGGATCTATTTGATAAATAGCAAAGATATATGTCCGCTTAGGGTTTTCTCAGGAGTCCGACGATTCCAAAGTTCATGAAAACACTGGGATTCTTTAGTTCATCTGTACTTGATGTAAGGGCGGGAGGGGGAAGCGATCGATATTGAAAGTGGCTGTGAGAACACATCAAAATGCACTATGATTCCCAGATGTAACACATCACTGCAATTCCCACCCCATGAAATGTATGTGCATGTGGTGAACGTGCAGAGTGGAACCGGGGTTTTACAGAGAGTGTAAAGTGATTAGTTGAAGTGTGTGAGCGAGTTCGGGCTGAGCGGGACAAACAGGTGATCGTCGAGCGATCAGCTGTTGGCCGGCTGGCAATCGGCCAGTGACTTTTTTTACGTCCGCGCCGTGGAGGCGTCCGTCTGTTCGGCAAGAAGTTTTTACAACATCGGGGTAAGAATGTCTGAGTGTGCGTGCCTTTTGGTGTTGTATCTTTGTGTCATGTGTTCTTGTTGCTGGTTACATGCAACAGATGAAGAATTGCAGAGAGAGGCGGGAGGAGGGGGGGGGAGAGAGGTTGATCTCCGCCCTCGAAGGAAGCTTGTTGTTGATTGAAGCGAAAGGATTTGCGACGAGGGACAAGCGTGCGTCCATCCATCGGATGTTTTTCGCGCGAGGGCCGAAGATTGATGTTCCAGGAAGCGCTTGCCCTAGACTTCACTACATATGGGCTGTTCAGCGCGTTTTTCCCTACGTCATTATAACATCGGATTGTGGAAAGTATAGATTGTGTGCTGGGAAACAAGCTGCTATCCGGGTTAAGAGGATTGGAACGGGATTAAGGCACGCAAACAATATTGAAAGTCCTACGGAGAACCCGAATGCTAAATTTGGTGCGGTGAAAAGGTCAGGGTACAGCGAGAGTCCCTTAAAGGGGGTTCGTACTTGTTTACTTGGGGGAAAGGGGTTATATTTTCTTTTGCCATAGAGAAAAAGTTTCCCCGACCCACGGGAAAAGTTTTCTGATTGTTGACTTTTCTACCTACTCGGTTGCTCCCCTTTCATTTTCGCTCTACACCGCTCCCCCTCCCTAGCTGCCGGCGCCGATCTACCATACAACTTGTTTTTCTGGTAGTTGGGGTAGTCTTCAACCCCTCCCCCCCTCTCCGCATAACGTCAGTTTTTTGGGAAAATCAGAAATCTGGAAAAGTGGTAGGAAGCTGGGAAAGGGGGATGGGGGAGGGGGTCGTGCCCAGTGAGGATTGACCAAGATATCGGTTGGAGTGTGGGTCTGCGCATCTGCGTCATCACTTGCTAGAACCTTCAATCGTGAATTCAAGGGGGACTAGCAGGACTTAAAGACACATTTCGCCTTAGTCGCAGGGCAGGATGGTCCAAGTCCATACACGTACAATTTGTTCAGTCACGTTTGAAGTCACGTTGTTCCTTCTGGAATAATGGCTGACGCAGCTTTGACAAGCGATATCGCGCAGATTCATTCTAATTAATCGATAGATTGGAACGGGGGCTTAGGCAGAACTCGTCGATCGATGGGTTCTTCCTGTATATGTCGGTTTCCAAGCCGTAAAGTTTAAAAGTTGGATAGTTTTCAGACGTGTTTGTTCTTCTTTCAAACAATGTTTGCTTGTTTTTCAGCAATGGTATCATTGGAATTGCAAAGTCTGACTCGTCTGCCACATGTACGCCCAGCTTACCGCTTGGTGTCGTGACGCCACCGGGCACAGTGAACCAAACACCGCACACACCATTGTCAGCGGATTCGAAACCACATACGACATCTGCTGAATGTTGGTTTATGCTATGTTCTTACGCTTTTTGTTGCTGTTGTTCGGCTTGAAGGGGGCGCGTGGACTTTCGCTAAATTCTGATGCTTCTCGAATCTTGGTGAGATTCCAATTCCTCTCGAATCTTGATGAGACCTGTTGGCTCTTGTCAAGTGTAAATGAAGGTCCTGCTATTGCATATCTTCACAGGAGCTAACAGGTCTGCACGGAGCATCGGCAATGATCGATAGGAAACCAGCAAAATGCCCCCACCAAGTCGAACTGCGCTTTTTTTGTTCTCTGTAATTTTTCGGAGCGGTTCATATACATACGGATTAGCTTCACAAATCGTAAAGGCTGGGAACTGGGGCCAGATTATGATTTCTGACTTGTCAAAGGTGGTGAAGTCATTGGTCTTAGATGGGGCGAAAAGTCCCACTGGAGGGTCGAAAAGTGTGTTAAGTAGGACTCGGGCCAGGTAACCCGAAAACAATTGGTATAGGAGGGGCATGTTAGGCATGCAGACCTTCGAAAATATGCTGCAGGCCAAGCGCACAAATTATCTTCTCAGCCGTTTTCGTTTATAATAGCCCCGTTCCTGAAGGCAATTAAACTCGATTAAACCGTTTTTCTGCAGCCTGGGCCTTCAATTGACTATAACGGCCCCCCGTTGGGTGGACATTCATCTGTTTTTCCAAGAGATGATCATTAGAAATATAGCCTGTCCATTAGTGTTTTATCGTGGGTAATTCAATTCTATTTTTAGAGCTGTCATGAGACATTTTTTGCCCCCTCCGTTGTTCAAGCAGCTTTGTATTGCGAAAGTATTGCTCAGTGCTCGGTTATCGGCAAGATAAGAGGGTCGACATTTTTTTTGAAACTGCGCTAAATTACTATCGAATGATGCGTCAAAGTATCGAAGTCAGTGCACATCACGGGAGGGGGATTTTTTCCGCGGGAGAGGGGTTGCATTTCAATTTTTCTGTTCCAATCGCTCCTCGCAGCCAGCGGCGCCGCTCCAAAAGTACTGTTTCTGACAGTTATATCGAGAAATATACCCCCTCTCACAGCAAGATTCCAAGAGAATTGAGGGTCCTAGCGGTAGGTTGTGAAAGAGGTCGTACAGAGGCCCTCATTTTTGGGGTGGGGGCGGCGTACGGACTCCGCCGTCTTGCAGAACCCGATGATGTGCCCTGTCGAAACCGTCCAAGTCGTTAACTCGAAGAGGACTAGCCGGACTTCAGGACCATTTCGCTAATCGTAGGGTCAGAAACCAATTGGTCCTAAGGGTCATGTACCCGTGTTTGGCCTGGCGGAGAGAGGGGGCATTTTTCTGCTTCGCTTGTTCCTTTCTGGTTCTGGACAAATTCCCTGAGTGAGACCTGTGAAGTCTTGTCAAGTGTAAAGAAGATCGAGCTATCGCACTACTTTACGAGAGTTTACATGTCTCCACAGGACATCGGATGGACGAAATGCGCCCTCCAGGCCGAACTGCGCCCATAAGAATCAGGCGAAGCTTGTTCACATAAATGGGAATGCATTGCCAAGGCGACTGAGGCTAGACAGCACAGCCAAACCTAATTGGATTTCTGCGAGGATTCTATTACTGGCAGGCATTAGAGAGGCTCAGAGAGCGTGAAGCAATGTTTCCCAGCGGGTGGTCCATTGGAATGACTGAAAGTGTCTTGACAAGGCTATGTTTCAAGGCTATCGAAAAGGGAAAAGGTATCTCCTATCCAGTTCCTGGGATCGTTTTCAACCCGTACATCGTGTTCGCCCTCCCCCCCTCCTTGGTCCCTCTGGAGATCCCAGGTTCAAGGGTCGTAAATGACAGGGCGTTGTGCATGCCGCTTCCCGTTGTCCATCTCGTATTCTGAGAGTGATGTTGTTCATTTCGTGGTGTAATGTTTATTACAACGTGTGCGAGAGAAGTCGGACGAGAACAGCGGTCGTTTCGACGGGGCTGAAGAGCGGCGCGCGTGACTGACGGGCGGCGGCTGTTGCCGACGAGCTGCAGTTGCTGCTGTGATGATTGAATGGCATTTGAGAAAAAGTGGTCAAGCTTGTGTGCTCGACGTAATGAGTTGTGTTAGAGAGGGAAGAGACACGCGAGAAGGGGGAGATGAGATGGGTGCGGTTAGTCTCAAGAGGCGATGAGTCAACAGCGGAAGGAAAACATGGCTCTTTGGCTCAAGAGCAATGCACAAGTGGCAACTCAAAGTGTTTTCAACCAGGCGTTCTCTGAAAGATTTCTTTGCGAGGCTGTTCCCATCAACAAAGCCTCGAAAAACGGGCTGTTACTTGCACGAATTAAAGAAGAAAAGGGATTTCTCACCGAACCTCCTGCTCTCAATCAACTTGGGGCAACCCATGGATGGGTGGCTTCAGATTCGCTGCAGCTCCATATCCTGGAGGTGAGAGGGGTGCGGCCGTTCACCCCACTCAAGGTGGCCACGCCCTTTTTCATCTCTGGGATATGGAGTCTCCCCCTACGCTACTGGCAAATATAGTCATTCTGTGACAATTATAATAATGTTTTGTCCAGCACAAGACAGGCTTACAATTATCTCAGATGGAAATGTCCATGAGAAACGCATCCTGAGACATGTTCAAGAGATATGCAACTACGCCCTCTCTATCTCTGGGATATGGCGTGTACCTGTGCTGAGGTGGTTCATGGAGTTCGTGCTCGCCCAAATTGAATAATGGAGCGGATTATGCTGTGGAAAATGCACTAAAAATGATGATGATTAGCTCCAAATTCCCTCCTGCAGGGCCAGAGCGGTCCAGCACCCCATGCCGATCCCAAACAATCCCGGCACGCCATTGTGCTGTTAAGCGGATTTGTGGGACATATGGCACTCGCGAGTGCCTCAGTGTTTTTGAAGCACTTCTAAAGATTACACATGCACCGGATTCCCAATACCTGTACGAGCTACGTAAGCGATGCCATAAAAGGATATATTTGACGTCAAAAGTAGCTGATCTGCTCCTAATCGTCTAAGGCGATAATCCTCAGGAACTAAGAAGACAGGGTGATTTTGAAAATTTAGAGGGGACAGTCAATATCTCCTTAAAAAATCCATACGCTTTATCCCTGAGAATATATAAGGCACAGTTCGGCTTTGGAGGGGCATGTGATGGTTCTCGGCGAAGCCCGGGCAGGCCACCTTGTAAGGACTTGCAAATCCCTGTGACTTATGCCGCTAACTTGTATCGCTGCGCAGCTTCACCAAAGTGTACAGGTTTCACCAAAGTAAAACCTGTTGACTGTCGTCAACCAGCGAAAGCACTTCACGAAAGTTCAAAGTGCGCTCACCAAGCCAAAAACTGCTCGTCCTTGAAGTGGTTGGAAAGTTCATTACGCAGTGATAACTGCCATTCACTAAGACGCTTTCCATGAATACCCACCCTGAAAAAAAAGCTGTCAGCCTTTTAATCAGGCATTTGTGCAGATTTGTGTGTGTGATGAGTGAAGTCTGTGCAGAATTGTACAATATTGTGACGAATATCCGTGACACAAAATTGCACAAGTCGATTTGATTTTTGGAATCCGTAGTTTCCCGTTGTTTATCCCGTCTTGCGCAATGGTGCTTTCGTTGCCGTTCCTTTTTTTCCTCGTCCGACCTCCTCGGCGGCACCATAGCTCAAATCCACTTCCTGGTGTCACTCAAAGAAGATCCAATGGCATCCATTACCGTCGCCCTAGCCGTCTCGTTGTAATGCGGTTGTATTTATTGCGTTCGGGATGATCATCAGGCGCATTGGAAATGTGTATGGATGTGTGTAATGCGGCTATTGATGTGGGATTAAAACGTGGACCAAGTGAGCCATTGGAATGCACGGAGGCGAAAGGAAGCAGATCATGTGTCATGCAGGATTAGTCTACAATGCAACAATCTGCACTTTATCTCTCTGAGATAGACAGGGTGTGGCTGCGTACTTCATTTGAGCGGGGCGGCAGCTATGCTTGTGATGGGATTTCTCCGTTTTGGGACAATAGCAAAGTTTATACAGACTTTGTCTAGCTCAGGACAAGGTGAAAGTTGTCTCAGATGGAAATATTCCCCAGGTAACCCCATGAAGCTGTTCTGATGAGGGTTAGGATGTCTCAGTTGTAGCTAATCGGCTTGGAGGGGGCACTTTGCACTTTCGTTAATCCCTCTGTTGGTTCCTGATAACTAACGGGTTCCGATTATGTAAGTCTTGTGGACTGTGAATCTGCGAAATTTTTTCAAATACTGGATTTCTTCAAAGAGAATAAGCGACTGCTAGTTGTATTCGCGCTTCTCACTACAACTGACCTTTTTGTGGAATAATGTAGCCGGAAGGACTGAATAGTTGTCAAATATTGAATGGTGGAAAGCTGAAAACACAAAGTATCCCATGGGGGTGGGGAACACAATAGTCATTTCGCTCAATTTTTTGTTCGTTAGCACACAACGCTGTCCCATTTGACTTTTTGTGGTGAACTGTGTCGCAATAGACTCTTAGGGACGCTGATCACTTTTGAGGGGGCATTAAAGGACTTTTCATGTAGTACCGGGAGTATCGAAATGGAGCGTTAATTTTTCTATTAAATTCTCAAGGGAGAAAAGCTCGGAGGAAGGGTGGGAAGATTTAAATTATCGATGAATGTTCTCCCAGTTTTGCTCGAGGAGTCCTTCAAATGCTCTCAAGGTTATTAGTTCCCGCTGAGGAATAAGTTTGGGAGGCTTTTACCTTTGCTGAAGCTTTCACAGGGTTCGGCGTTGTCACTGACGGTGGGGTGGTGAAGTTCATACTGACCTCCTCTACCATCAGGGCGACGTCGTCAGACAGGGAAACTCTGCTTGTCGGCCTCGACGTCCATCTGATTTCTTTCCATTTTCAGCAACGCATCCATCCGATCCTGGTCATCGAGCCTCGTCGGCGACACCGTCAGGAAGTACTGGTAGCGGTGTTAATGGTAGTATTGGTGGTGGAGGAATTGGTGTTGGCATCAATCCATCATCGTCATTATTTGTGAACACCTCAACCACATCACTTCTCACCCAAGCTGGTCTACTGTCACATCAGTTGGCAGCCAGCCAACAACTTGGCCTCGATCCGCTTCGACTTCTGCACAATCCGCAATTGGCGGCAAGCCTTTCAGCAGCAGCTGCTGCCGGAAATCCGTTCCTGACGTCGAATACCGCTGGTGCGACGATTCCCTTACTGCACATGCTTCAGCAACAACAGCAGCAACAACAACAGCAGCAACAGCAACAACAGCAGCAGCAGGTCTGTTCATTTCACCTCTTGATAGCCCTTTATCTTCATTTTTTCTTATTTTCTATTCTCTTTCCTTTTCCCTGTATTCTCTCGGTTTTCTTTTGTTCATTATACTTGCGAACTTGGTTGTTTTAGCTGCTTGTGGTGGTGAGTGGGTGGGACCACACGATTTTGAAAAGATTTCAGTAACTCGAAATATTTGTTCGATACGGTTGCAAGCAAAGAATGCGACATAGTGTCGGAACAAAGTATTAGATGAGCTATGGAGTTGTAGTGGACTAATGATAAAGCAGGAGTTTGCAGGGATACGCGTCAAGTACCCGCCAAAACACGTTGATCTTCAATCAATAAGTTTTGCGCCCAGCGGCCTCCGAGGGGCATGCCCGAAATGAACTGGCTCA